AGAAAGACTAAAATGAGAACATCTGGTGCTCATGAAAATAATAGGTACATCCTAATACAAATGTCTAGTCTCCATTGTCATTCAGACTCTCCTGGGTGTCGTCGCTATCCATCTTCTCATCATCTATAAAATGAACAAACACAAAATTAAGCCAATACAACAGACAGTATAACAACAGCAGCTGATAAACACCTGATCTGAACTAAAACTAATTGTTTTAGGAATTCAGATCAATATAATTGTGTCCTTTAGAATTTATTCAGATAAACTAACTACTAGTACTTACTCTCCAAAGTCTGTTGAAGTTCCTGAATGGTGGTGAGAAGGACGTGGAACTGTTTCTTACGAAGTTCCAACTGAAGATGGGTTAATAAAAAAAAAGAGAGAGAGAGATCAGAGTAAATATTGTAAGATGTGTGATGGTGTAGGTCTAGAAAATCATCAAGAAATACCACATTCCCTCACCTTGTCCTCCACATTCTCTTTGATGTGTGAAAGCTGCTGAAGCTCTTTGTCTAAAGCCTCAAGCTGCCTGCAGAAATAAGATCAGAAAAACACTTCACTGTCCTGTTTGTCATGTTATATAAAGGACACACAGACTACAAATTAAACACACAGTGAATAAAATGTGATTTCACCTAAATAAGAATTTCAAACTTACTTTAAGGTCTCATGTCTGTCTGGATGCTGCTTGATAACTCTGGCCAAAGCATCATACTCTACAAACGAGACATGCAGTAATAAATTAGTGATAAAACCAAATAAAAAAATAATTACGATTTCTCCAAATGAGCTGTATTGAACCTTGGCGGTTTTTCCGTATCCGTTTTGCTCTCTGGATTTCCTTTTTGCACTCTGCAATTTTTTCATGCGCTGATGTTATACTTGTCTCTGTATTGGAACAAATCAGAATATTTCGCTACGTGATTGAACAAATGGTGATGACACCAAACAAAGTCACATCGACTGGAGGACTTACCAATATCCGCATAGATTGCTTCATAATTCTCCATTTCTTTCAGGTTCATGTTGTACACGAGCAGGGTCTTCCCCATGGAGAATTCACATTGAGCCAAAGACGTCAACATCCTTTGATACTGGGAGAACCTGCAGCAACAAAGTCAAGCGTGAAAAGTATTTTTACCTTAAGCTATGGTAACTAATTAATGGAATAAGGTCTAAATGTCTAATGTCGGGTGTATATTTTGACCCAAGCTCACACATTTTAATAATAGATTAAATTACCCTTCCTCTGGTGAGAAATTGGAGTGGCACCATTTGGAGAAGCTCTTCATGAGCACATTAATGCGCCTATCGTCTCCAGCTCCATCTCCATCGATCAGAAGACGCTTCCTAATGACCTCATCTGCAAAGATACAACGATACCATTTAAGTCAATGTTTAAACCACATAGCAACAAATGTGGTGGGAACTTAGTTATTACAGTTTGAATCTTCCAGTATGCCATGGTCACACAACATGCTTAATGACTGTTTTGGATCAAAGAAATCTTCCAAGAAAGACAAACTTTGATACAATATATAAAATATTTTGCATATATATGTATATAAACATACAATTCTGGCACACACACACACACTAAGTATTTCCTAATTCACAATAATTTCGATGGAATCCATCGAGATTACATACATAATTTTTGTGCATTTCTTTAGTGAATCAGTTCTAGCTTATCACATGGCTAACTAGCAATGATTCCTCATGTTGATCTCATTTCATCTCATGAAGTTCCTTTAGTTTACAAAAACACATAAGTTAGTCGGGCACAGTTGTAATTAATCATACTGGTTCGCCAAATAACTAGCAAACACAAAATAAACACCAAAACAAAGAAATTCTTACCATCAGTGATGCTACCCATTCTCCAATAGGCTAACTGAACTATTCGAAAAAACTTTATTGACAGGCGCGCGCGGACACAAGGCATAAGCGCTCCGCCTCTGTTGCGAAGCAAATGAGCCGAACCCGCCAACCCAACGTATCACAGCAATTATTGTTTTTATGTTTTTGTTTCATCATTATTGAGTCAATTCAAAGTTGTGAGTAAAATACTCTTTCAAACGTTTCAACCATTCGTATGACTTACAGAAATGCTGTATCGGTAAGCAGTTCAGTAGTTTTTGACAGTGGTTCGAAGTCCGTCTCGTTTCCGTGAATCGGTTCACTAGAAGAACAGTTCGTTTAAAAGGACCTTTTCAAAAACCGATTCAGCCATTCTTTTACGCCATAACGTCAGTTCAGTTTGTTGTATCCATGATTCAGGTTATAAAACCATTAAGTCATTTAGGACATAAATATAATACGCATTTATGGTAAGAAATAGTAGGCCTACGGGTTAAAACAACAACGTAGCAAGTTTTTACCCATAACGTCAGTTCATTTTGTTGTTGCCATCATGCCATGATTCAGCTTCTAAAAACAAAGTCATTAATATAAGGCTAATAAGGACGTCATTAAACATAAATATAGCCTAATATGCACCTACATTAAGAAATATGACTGAAACGGTTTTTTACGTTTTGTTTACTATCAGCTCGCTGTTTTTCAATTCAGAAGCTGCATCCTTCGAAGGCCACGTCTTAATAGGCCGTGAAGGTCGGACTGAGCGTGGTTAAAGCCGGGGACACACTTAATGCTGGGGACACGCTTAACGACTAGCTGAAACATTCTAAGACTGAACTAAACACACTTACAGACTTTTCAACGATTGGAGCAGATTTTAAACACAAGTCAGAGACAGTTGCGTTCAGTCTGTGTTTTAAATCTGCTCCAGTCATTGGAAACAGTCTGTAAGTGTGTTCAGTTCAGTCTTAGAATGTTTCAACTAATGTTAGTCGTTAAGTGTGGGACGGTCTGGCCTACTGAGGATTGTTCTTGTCGCCTAGCAACTGTTACGCTGCAATTGATGAGTGACAGAGTTTGTAGAAGTTATTAAACTGTCTCAAAACAAAACAGGGTTCACAAACTGTCTAAATATATTCACCATGGTCCATTTCTGTATATAATAAAGAGTATAAACTTAATATATTAACATCTTAGTAAGATAAGGCAACATTTGAACTGCTTTTTATATATATATTTGAGTAAGTTGAAACACAATATTTACATTTAAAAGTGTAAAAAAAATCTGGGGTAGGCAAGGCCATTTTGAAGGACACATTTGGAGGCCGCATTTGAAGGAGCCTTCGAATGAGGACAGCCTTCGTCGTGCCAAGGTGATGTAATCGGCCTTCGAATGCAGCAATCGGTTCTTTCCGAACTGGACATAATATGTGTTTCAGCGTGTCGGTTGCACGATTTTGTGAACAGGTTCAACTTATTCACTGAACAGATCCAATTTAAAAGTTTCATGAATCGCTACAGCCTAACTACCATTTTTTATCATTGTTATATCGCCAAAAATTCATTTCAAAATTGTGCGCAAACATTCCAACCATTAGTATGTCTTCCAGAAATGCTGTAGGTCATTAGGTAGTATGCAGTTTAGTAGTTTTTGACAGAGGTGTTGTGGTAGGTCCGACTTATTCGGTGAATAGGTTGATTAGAACAGTTCATTTTAAAGGTTCTCTAAGCGATGTCGGGTGACGTCACTTCTTGTTGACGTTTAAAGTATTGCCAAACAAAACGGAGGCTAGCTAGACCCTCCCTCCTCCTCATCCTCGCACTAACCCCCCAAACCCCGCCCCCAAGTCCTTCTTGTCGGTGATTGGCTGGAACTGTTTGTCATGTTTCGGGGAGCGTGTCGCCGCAGTTTGTTTTTGTTGCTGTTTGTGGAGCCTGGGCTGCCTACAGAGATCGTGTTTCTTTACAGTGTGTTCAGGGGACAGGCAGCCAGCGGATAGTGAGGAGATGTTTGCTGTATGTGACAAAAAATGTTTTGGCCTAAAAAACGCGTGACATCGCTTAGAGCACCTTTAAAGATCTGTTTTTAGAAAAAAGTTTTAGCATTTCTTACACCATAACATTTGTTTAGTTTTCTACAGCCATAATTCAGCTCATAAGCATAATTCAGAACAGGTTTTTTTAAAAATTATTATTTATCTGGGACCCCCAGGGGGGCACAAGGGAATGCTAGGGGGTCCATGGAAAAGTTTAGACAAAGAAAAAAATACAAAAAAAGATTCAACTAAGTACCTAAATAAACAAATACATTCAATTAGCCTAAATAATAAACTAATTGAAATAAATACATTAATTTAACTAAATAAATAAATTAACAAAGTAAATAATTTGTAATTTGTAAAATATAAAGATATTTTATTTTAATAGCTGTATTAAAATATATTTAAAAATATAGGCCCTATTTGATTAAAATAGTACAGTAGTACTACAGAGAGAAAACACAATATAATATATTCAACATATTTATAATAATCATTTTCTTTATACTTGAAATTATGTAGCCTAACCGTTTTCATGTTTTAATATTCTCTTAATACTAGCCCACTCACTCATCGGTTCATATCCGAAACGGGTCTCGGTTCAACGAGTCTTTGTGAACCGGTTCACCTTATTCATTGTAAAGATCCGACTCACAAGATTCACCAATCGTTACAGCATTTCCCTAAACTGCACGTTTTTTCTTCTTCTCATTATTAGATAGCCAAAGTCATTTTAAAGTTGTTTCGGCTGCATGTGTCTATGATTAGTGTGATTTTATTTCTACATATGTCATATGTATGCAGTTTAATAACGTTCTAGATCTAACGTTATAGCGAAGTGCAGTAGGCTGCGTTTCAAAACCCAGTGAGCTACCTACTTAGAAAGCCTATTTGGGCACCAAGGGCGCGTCTGAGACGCTCGAAAAGCTGTTGTGAAAGCGCCCCAACCGCTCAAATGACTCACAAACACACATAGGAACGTAACAAGCGCGTGAACGACGGCCAGAAATGCTGTCTAGGCAGGCAGCGCTCTCGTTTTTGACACACCACCATCCTGTCCAGTGACAGGCGTGCTCGGTGCATGCGTGCTGTTGGAGTCAGCCAGTGACGTTCTTGTCCCAGAATGCTGCCTGGTAAACAGACATGGAAGCACCTGGTGAAGACCTCCACAGTCACTGAGCACTACACTCGCTCTTTGAACTGATCTTCATTTTCAATACACCCTAAAGCCTGCGCCTTTGTTCTCTCTGGCACTCTACCGGGACCTCTGAAGTCCAGGGCATTGGTAAGAGAACAATGATGACATCGAGATCAGCTGCTAATGTCTGTTCTGCCAGTTAGCCAGTTGCATGCTACAGCAGTGCCACCAATGGCTCAGCTGCTCAGTTAGCGAGGAAGCTAAACCTGCTGCCGTCCCCCCTCCCCCTCTTATGTGTGTAACATTTTATTTTGGTGATGTAATACTCAAGTTTACTTTGTTCGTTTCGCACCGACGACAAACCCGCTATGTTTAGTCCTTGTAGAAAACTTGTTGTAGGAGCTTTTCTAATGACTTGTGGATCTCGCCATTATTGCTTTCACTTTCCCAAGTGCACTTGCTCGTTTTTGAAGTTACATAGTGGATGCGAACAAGTGGACAGGGCAAGAAATTAATGGAGCCATAAGAGTGGAAACATTAGCAAAACACTTATAAAACTTCAAGGACATGACGTTTGTCAGAAGGCTTTTAAATTTGTAAATGAAACTTTACACAAAAGGGGCATCATTCAGGAGGGGACGACCAGGGGTGTTTTCAGACCACACACACTCAAACACACATACATTTTGTAATAAAATGATTGTGTTTATATATATTGTGTGCTGTGTATACACTGTGTTTTTTCAGTAACACTTTACAAGAAGGTTTCATTTGTTAACTACATTAGTAAACATGAACTAACTATGAAAAATGCTTCTAAATCTTATAGTAACCTTAGTTCATGTTAACTTTAACATCTACTAATACATGCTTAAATCAAAAGTAGTTTCTGTATATTATATTATTTAATGAACCTGCACTAACATGAACTAACAATGAACAGTTGCGTTTGTGTTAACTAACATTAACAATGCGATCAATAAATACTGTAGAGAAATGCTAGATCGGATGGATCTCGCATCAGAAATATATCAGATCTGACCTCGGCTCCTGTCAAAAGATATTTTGTCTTTTGTCCAAAACCAGTAAAACCTGTCAAAAGCAAGTCTTGTCTGGTACCTAAAACTCTAATAACAGTCTTCTATCCGCCTGAGAGTTTGGCTGAGAACGTCAGGAAAGAGCAGAAGGAGATGAAGTGATGATAATAAAAAATAAGAAGAGTTTAATAATGAATAATCTTAGTTTTCTTAATCGTATGTTTCAATGCTCAGAGTATGTCTGACAAGTACAAATCCAACAAGTGTTATTATACCAAAGCAGAAGCGTTTACATCCTGTGATGTGTAAAATCTTGAAATGAATGAATTCTCATATCTCTTACATTCTATTACTCATAAAGACAAACATCCCATAAACCTTTCAATCATAAGATTAAACAACAATATATATGAAATATAGTAATATACAATATACAAACATAAAATAACAAATCAGTAAAAATATTCAAACAACGAATAAATGATTAAATAATAAATCAAATGGTAACTACATAAATGACTAATGATTTTAAAATTAAATGTTTAACAGATTGACTATTTCTTCAAATTAAAACCTCTGATGGCTCATGCTGTTTTCACTGTAGTTCAAAGATATTGGAACAAACAAGCTTTGTATGTAACGGCTTTAGCTGTGCATGCCAAATTTGGAATATTAATTGTTTTTAGTGTAACTCTGTTTACAAAGAGTGGGTGTTTGCACTAGAAACGGAAAGACCTTTCATAGTTCTGTTGAATGGTAGAAACACTGTAGGGGAAATCTTTGACATCACAAAGAACATCTCATCATCAAGTCAATCAGCCTCCGTTTCCCTGAACACTTGATGCGTAATGCATTCATCACCTTCCATTGACACAAACAACAGGCTAATAGTCATTCAGTTACCATCAGAATGACGCTGTTTGTGTATGTCTATTATTTGCTTATAATTGATTCTGATATGTATTGTAATGGCTTACCAGAAACATTTTTCATTTTACATAAATGGATGAAGTCATACAGTGCGAATTCTGCTTTTTTCATGTAAGTTAATTAGGTTATGATTTTAATGTTGAATTGAGCATAAAACATTTTCACTAGTTCCTTATATCCCTGAGACGGATTATCAGGCTGTCAACTGAAGGGCTCTCAGATGGTTAGCCGGGGATAGTCGTTATTGGATTGGATTACTCTGTAGCGACGGGCTCCTCCTTAAGTAGATCTTGAGCTAGTAAAAACCTGTAAAGAAAGCAACAGTACGATTCTGTTGGCCTTAGGTCAGGAAGGCTCCTCTGTCAAAAACAACAGTCTCATGGCAGTTCATAGCTATTTTACGTTTTGGCAAATTGTCTAATTCGTATGAATTTGTATGTTCTTTTTCATACGTTTTTACACAATCTGCTTACTCCCCAGTGTGATCCTCATGCTTACTTTTTTTCTAAAAAATCTTACATTTTTGTATCCTTCACATCATATGATTTTGATATGAAATTGCCACCTGGTAAAATAGTTATGTTTTCCCTTGAGATTGGGTTAGTCAAAAAACAAATGTCCAATTCCCTAAACTGTGATTAGTTCACACTGAGTATGGAAACAATGCTGCTAACATGCCTTTCCTTTGTTTCCTTTCCACAGATTCCCTCACCAGCTTGTGTGGCAGTCTGGAATCACCAAAGCTGATGAGGATCTACTGACTTGACCAGTGTTGTTCCAATTTTTACTTTTGACAAGGTATGACGTGTGAACATAAATATAAACTTTTGAACAATTTCACCCTAGGGTTTTTATTTTTGGGTTTATCTTTATTTGATCAAACCTATCAGATAGATTAATTGTGTAGTTGCAAAATTTGTTTAGATCATTTTTAAGTCATAGCAGGTATAACTATATCTTTAGTGGGCTATGGTAGTGAATTGTTAATAGATGCATTATTATACAGTATAGGCCTGTTCATACCAAGGACGATAACTATAAAGATAAAGTTTAGTTTATAGATATAGTTTTAAAAATCGTTCTCAATATTAAAGAATAGCAGTTCACACTATAACGATAACAGTACAGAGGTTGGAATCACTTTCAGAATGATTTTATCCAGCTGATGAATGATAAAATCATTGACAGCCAATCAGAATCCATCCTGCTGTAACAAGCTCGAGCATTTAAAGTGACAGACATGCATGCACTTAGAATAAACAGAACGATATCGTCTGCTGGTGTTTACGCTAATATAGTTGGGGTGTAACGATACCCTAATTTCACGATTCGATATATACGATACTGAACTCACGATATGATATTATTGCGATACTCCAAGACATACGGTAAAAGGTTAACAAAAATGCATTGATTGATTGATTAAAATACTAAATTATTACTTTGGGGGTGAAAATGAATAGGCTTTAATTTGGTGCTGGCAACCCAATGCACAGGACAAAGGTGACACTAGAATAAAAATATTCATGATTCTGAAACTGATAATACAGAATTATGTTAGATGAATATGCTTGCACTCTGTCACTGACTAGATGCATTTAAAATAATGTAGGCAACTTTTTACTGGTAACATAAAACATTTGGCATTATCAGGACCCACAAATATTCCCCCATTGCATTATTATACATTATATTCAACATTATATATTGTAGTTTAATGTAGCACTGTCACTAAAACTCTGTAAACTTGATTTTTTTTTTCTCACACAGTAATTTTCATTCTATAATTTTCAATTTTTATTTTGGGTGAGCTATGCACAATGCAGATTGTCACTATCCACGACGATACATATTTTTTTTTTTTTTTTTTTTGTGATATATTGTGTGACACAATGTATTGTTACACCCCTATAATATAGTTATCTTTATTGTTATCGTGCTTGGTGTGAATGGACCTTAAGGACTAGTCCTCTTATATTTGGACATAAGGCATTATTTTTCACAGTGGAAACAAGTTTGAATACATTTAAAGGTGCATTGTGTAACATTTGGTTGGATCTGTTGACAGAAATGCAATATCATATACATAACTATGTTTTCAGTGGTGTATAAAGACCTTACTTAATGAACCGTTATATTGTTATTACCTTAGAATGAGCCATTTCTATCTACATACACCGCGGGTCCCCTTACATTGAAATGCGCCGACATGTTTCTACAGTGGCCCTAAATGGACAAACGTGTTTCGTTACTATGTTTATCTTTGTGCAAAGAAGCTAGTGAATAGAACACTGACACAATGATAAACAAGTAACAATAATATTCGCAATAACATATCTTTTTACTGAATAAATAAGTAAACATAATTTCTTAATTTATCTTTGGTAAAGAAACATTGCTGAACTGGCTACTCTCTGCTGTCTCAGACGACGACATCTTTTCCTGTCGGCCACCGTAACTTTTGTTGGTTGCAATTCGCAACCTCACCCCTAGATGCTGCTAAAAATTACACATTGCACCTTGAAAGGGTTAGTTCACCCAAAAATGCTAATTATCCTATAATTTACTCACCCTCAAGCAATCCTAGGTGTATATGACTTTCTTCTTTCAGTCAAACACAAATAGTTATATTAAAAATATCCTGGCTCTTCCAAGCTTTATAATGGCAGTGAATAGTACCATTTTTTTGAAGCCTAAAAAAGCACATCTATCCGGTTACGGCCATACGCGAGTCAGGTGGAAGAGTGAACTCTGACCTGGCCATGATGTGTTGACAAACACGGAAGCGTAAAATGAGAATTTTTTAAGAGAAATGTCAGAGGAGCTTGAGTTTGTTACCCAGCCCTATTTGTTTGAACTGCGAGAGGCATGTACTCTCACCTAAGCTTACGCTACTCCTACAGCCTACATCTCGGAACTCGACTCTCTCGTGAACGCGTGGACTAACGACGTTACTGGAAGCTAGTAATTACCGTCTATAAAGTTATAATTATGGATATTTTTCTTACAAAAACACATCGCTTCGCTTCAGAAGGCCTTTATTAACCCCCTGGAGCCGTATGGATTACTTTTATGATGGATGGATGTGCTTTTTTGGGCTTCAAAAAAATGGTACCATTCACTGCCAATATAAAGCTGCAAGTGGCAGGATATTTTTTAATATAACTCCTATTTTGTTTGGCTGAAAGAAGAAAAGCATATACACTTAGGATGTAAATGATGGGATAATTTTCATGGGGAAACAGAGTAAATACTGTTAATCAAAACATTTTTGCAGTAATTTTTTTAAATGACCCAGCTCTTGCATATCCTACAGACTTACTTTTGTTTAATATAAACACATACATTTAGGTAATGACTTATTGTAATTTGACTGCATAAATCACAAAATAAGCTTAAAGCTATTTTGCATCTGATTAAGACATGTTTGCCTCTACTATCTGTTCTTATTGTAGATGAATTGGCCCAGACATATTTGATTGTGTATGAGAGACACATTCTTGCAAGAGGAGAAATGGCTAAGTATAGCCTAGAAATTATTTGCTAATGCCTGTGCTCCAAAATGTGATTCATAACACGTGGCTGATCAGAGTACATTAAATTTAGAGCACGCACGTATTTATATACTTTTTAACAGTCTTACCTCTAACTTTAATTATCAACCAGGTAGTGTTTGTGAAAGTTTGGTAAAGAATTGCAGCAATGCCGGTTCATGCAACTGAGTCAAACTGTTCTTTGGATAAATGACTGTTGAAAATGTCAAATCACTCAGTATTTGATGTTCAGTGCATCAAATGATTAATTTCTGGCTGTCATTAAAATGGCTGCCAACCTGCCATGTAGACGTCTCTCCGTTGTTTGCCATATGCACTATTGTTTTAACCCCTTTAATCCCCAATTTTTTAAATGAACACATGTTTTGCTCCTTGGATTGCCCAATTTAACAAACTGCATGCATTGAAAAAAAATAGTTAAATAAATTATGTGTTTTAGTTCTAGTCACAATTGCAACCGGTGGAAACTAGAGTCAAACATTTCTCAAATTGCTCATTAAGACCAAACAAACAATAATTATTTAATATTTGATTTTACTATCAAGCAATTGTGGGCTAATGGTAATCCATGAATAAAAGCACATTTATTTGGACTTTTATGCTTTATTAATGTAATAATTTATAATGCAAATAAATAAAATGGGGCTCTGAGTTTCCTACTGGTCCCAATTGTGACCATGGACATGTTTACATGTTTTGTGATCAAGTTTTATTTGAAAAAGCAATCTTAATAATACAATTAAAATAGAGTATTTGAATATAAATATTTAATAATTATGTGTCAGATATGGTAGTTGTATCTGTATGAACTGTTTTACATGCGGGACAAACTGAAATTAAACAGTTGTAGTCTTGACTATTTACACACACAAAAAAAATCCACATGAAATCAAGATATGCACTTTTATTTATATTTGATAACGCTGTATAAAATAAGCTACATAAACAACATTTTTAGACCCTTCAAAATCGAAAGTAAATTTGGTCAAAAACAGAGTAGGCTACCAGTGGGATTAGATTGTTTAGCATTTTGTTTTTGTTGGTCAAAGAAAGTCATACAAAGGAATAGGTGTAAAAAAAAATCTTGGAAAAAGTATGTGTATTTCATTTTTCTAGTAGCCTGTTTTTTATTGTCATGTCCTAAATTTAGGGGCGTCAATATCAAGAGAATGGGGAATTCCCAAGTCCGTTGAGTGGTATTTTTTATTTATTTTTAATAATTATAATTAAAAAAAAAACATATTAAGATACGTTTTAATATGTGTGACAGTATAATAAGGCAAACATTCCGGTGAAACCTATGGTCTCATTATTTCGCGCATACTCGTCAGTGAAAGGAAGTTTTGAGGTCGTCCTTAAACTTTTATCTCAGTAATCTCCTCTTAACGTATGTTTCGATACACGCCGTCTCGTGCAGGGGGGAAGAAAGACAGCCGAGCTCGTGAATGAATCGCTCGTTCGGCTCAATGTCATTCATTGAAGGAATCCGCTCGGCTCATTGCTGTGTTGTTACATTGTAGCGGAAAGAATGTCGGAAAGGGCCGATGATGACGTCAGGGGGGAGCAGCAGCAGCGCAGAGCGGCCAGGCTGAAGCAGCAGCAGACACAGCTCCAGCGGGGAGAAGCCTCCACAGCAATGGCGACTGTGGCGGAGCGCAGATCCCTGCCTAGTCCTGAAATAATGCTGGGACAGCCTTGGAGCAGCTGGGTCGATGCTGTGAAACTCTACGGGAGCGACGGTGAGTTGATCGGCCGCCGTCGGCCATTGCGTTTCAGCGGGCAGCCGCGTCAGATCGCGAGCGTTTGCCCGACTGCGTGCAGTTTTGAAATATTAAGAAACGCGAGAACAAGCCAGCAAGTGTAACTATTTATGTAACACGACCCAAATTGCTTCCTCAGGTACAGAATTGGAAGAAAGTTTGAAAGAGTGCGGGAAAAATCGCGAAGCCATGAGACTCTGCAGAGACGGTGAGTAGTGTTGCTTTCTCTGGTCAAAGGTGTGTTTTTGTTTTGGTGTGTCCACACTTTTCACGCACCGGTTCACTGTGAAACAAGTGCGGCTGACTTTTGACAGAACTGTCCCTGTAAACTCTGCTCTTACGATAGTCAAAAGTGTTAGAAACTAGCTTTTTAATGTGTGTGTTTACATAGATTGTTCTATAGAAACATTACATGTCTGGGTTGCATGTTAGCACGTGTGGGTTGGAGGTAAAATTAAAAGATTTTAAAAGTAGAATACATGCTATATACACGTAATTGTCATGCTTGAAATGTTTTAAATGTGTTCAGACACCATTATTTTGAATAGAAGCCTGTAAGCGTAGTATATTTGAATAAGTTTACTCTAGTCACACATTTTGTTTTGATACACTAAGTATTTAAATGTCAGAGTTATGCAGTCTGGATTGTTTGCCGAATTATGCTTCTTTATTACACATCTCTATGGAATATTTAGATTCTGATTATTAGTCAAATATTTCTCTGTATAAGGGACAGTTTATCCAGGAAATAATTCGGTGTTTCTGCGTCCTCTAAAAGTACACTACTACTAACGCCATTTAAATACAATTTCAATATTTCCGGACCATGTATTTATTTTCCGGATAAGTGGACTGTAAAACCCAAACTTATTACGGTAACTCAAACCATTTGAGTAAACCGATTGCCTTAAACCATTTAAGTTTTAAAACTAATATTTGTTGAGTCCACATAAAGAGAGTATTTCTTAAATTGAAAAAAATAAATCCACTTAAATACTGTATGTAATACAAATTGAATTTAATTGCTTGGCATTCAGCATCACTGTGCTGAAGTGTGCACAGCCATTGCTTTTTAAATAAAGCAATATATAGTTTAATCGGCCTCATTTTAAAATGTTGTGATAAAACCATCCAACATTTGATCTTACGATCATTTCTCCAATGTGTGATTCAGAGAATGAACATAAGCACAAAAACCTCTCTTCCAGATGTGAAATCTATAAAACGCAAATTATCCTGAAATTGTGCACAGCTGAATGGTTTCAAATCTCCAACTTGTAAACGCCCCCTAATTAATGTAATTAACATATAAAAGATCACCAGTCAATGTCCAAATCCTTTACTTGAGAATGGCAAACAGAAAGAATTACTTATATTCCCAAATACCTGCAGTACTCCGACTTTATCCCACAAGGAAAAGTGGGTACATCTGCTTAGACCCTGACGTGGTGCTAAGCACTTTTCCACATCAAATATGAACGTGGATTTTAGCGTACTAAGTTCAAATCTGTGTGTACACATGTTTTATGAATGTGATTTGGTCAATCCTCTTCTTGATCACTGGCCCTTCTCTTAGGCACAATGATAATTGTGTAGTGTTTTTAAACCCAACACTTAACCCAAGTTTTTTAAACCCAAAACTCAGACATACCAGAAACTCTTTAATTCCAACATAACAGAACATTAAACACTAACAGATCTCTCCCTCTCCACAAACCCATAAAATAACCCTTCATTTTAACTTTTTAATTTAAACTTGCTCTACTTTAACAGTCAAGAACAAAGCATGCCGGGAACTAGAAATCTGCTGTAACTCATTCAGTTTAATATAATCAATTATTGAGTTCACATAACTTTTTTTCTATTAAGTACAATTAACTTTAATATTTGAGTAAAAGTAACTCATTTAGTAAATTTTACTGTTAGATCTTACAGCCAGACAACTCTGACACCATTCAGAGATTGTCTTCAGTGTTCATGGACACTGCAGTCTTTTTGTCTTAAAATAATCTAAAGGAGTAATTATTTCATTTATTATTGATTTGTTAACTAGCTGCTTCACGTTGAGGTCCTGATCACCCTGTTTATTTTGTGATAATGACTGTCTGTCTGTATATGATCCCTTACTTAGATTTAAATGAATATAGGTGACAGCGGTATCATTTACATGTATAATGGTCAAGGTAGTTGTCGATCATATTTTTAAATCCTCCTTTTTGTAAATTAAATATGTATAACTAGCATATTAATGATCCGTACTCAGTAGAGGACACCTTGCAGTTGCTGTCATGCCTGTTTGTAAATATATTACTTTTGAATCGCTTTGATTTAGATCATTCTAGTAGATCTTAGCTTTGTCCTAAGTTGCCATGAAGCTAATAAACATGTTTTCTCTATTTTTCTTTCAGTATAGGAAGTGTGAGATACTGTACCTGTCGGAACACTTATCTAACAGGGCATTTGCATTGACAAACAATAGCCATTATGTGCATCACAGTTTAGAGTAAATTAGAAGATTTAAAGTCGTCGCACAGGAATCTGTCAGATATGTCAACCTTTGGGTTGCGTAAGGCGAAAAACGACACCTTTCGCCTTTATGGACTGAAATCATTGGTGGTTTTATGTTATGCTTTAATTAGTGTTTTCTATCTAAATTCTGATTTATTTTTAAGCATAACTGTTCTCAGGTCAGAGTAAAGTCAAAGTCTTGAACACATCTTTATGAAGGTTGTAGTTTCAATTTCAGCTTGGTCTACGCCTGAAATATTTATGTTACTGGATGTATTGAAAGCAGCTTATGTTGTGCTGTAGATGTGGAAATTATTGCTTCTAGCCTATACCTTACCTTAAGAGCACCATGTGTTATTGTATAGTCAGGAACTGGGCCGCAGGATGATCCAAGCAAAAGGAAAAAAAGGAGAAGGAAAAAATCCTTTAAAAATGCACATCTATATAATAATGATTAAAGGGACAGTTCACACAAAAATTTAAATTCTGTCATCATTTACTCTGTTGTTCCAAATAGAATTTGTCTCATGATACGATTGGATTATGATTCAGAGGATAACGATTGGATTATAAAACTATTCTCGAATGCATCATGATGCATCTTTTTATCCAATTCTTTTATTAATAATAAATACTATTTAATACTCACAATATGGTCCATTTTTGCTATTTTATCACTGTTTAAAAAAAATATGAACTAAGATGCAAATAACAAACTTAAGAACAAATACAAATAAATCTATTCAACAGAAGCATTCAAGTACAGAAATTCAATAATTATATGTATAAATAATCACTGGCTGCATAGTCTTTAGTGTATTAATTACAAATATGTCAATTATTATTCAACCTATGAAAGTTATTCAGTCAAGAGCAGTGAGTGTTTCCCTCTGTTGCTTGAAAGCAGATATTTCTAAAAGTTAGGTAGATTTATCTAGTACAAACATCAGATGTAAATCCTTTGCTTCCGAAGGACATACAACTGTTAAACGTAAAGGACGTAAAACTGTTTTAAATATATAATAAGAATACTTTATTTACACTGAAACAGTACATTAATATGTATGAAAGGCCTATATAATTACAATTTTTAAAAATGTAATTATTTTATTTTTATGCATTGATGCAGAATCGTTCACATTAGCATCGCGATGCATCATAGAAACTAATTCTATTCCACAGCTGTAGTTCCAAACCTGTCTTTCTTTCAAACTCTCTTTCTTCTGTGATACACAAAATACATTTTAAAGGATGTTGGTAACCAAACCATTTTGATGACCATTGACTTCCATTTGTAAAAAGAAAAGAAAAAAAAAGTCAAATATATATTTTATTATGTTCCGCAGAAGAAAGAAATTCATAGGGGTTTGGTACGACTTGATTCAATTATGGTGAACTGTCTCTTTAAAGCTTGTACAGCTTTTAATGTTCAGCTGAAACTGAATCTGTGAATGACACTATCCCAGAGAAACCCAGTTCATTTTCCAATTTTGAAGTTTGCATGAGTCCCTCGCAGCAGTAATTAAAACATAGACAGGTACATAGAAGAATATTATAAAAATAGATTTTCACGTTTCAGTTTTCCTTGAATGATAATTAGAGATATTAATATTGATCCAGTGTTGCTGCTATTTGACGGAGAAGCGAGCCTGTCGTACAGTTTCCATGTTTAGCCATCATTTTGTGAAAATGTTCTGTTTTAGACAGCTTATTAAAAAGCTCTAAATGTATTATTAAAAGAACTAATTTAACTAGTGTTCCCAATTCCTGTTCTTGACAATCTCTCACAAACTCCAGAACTGCCCTGAGATTAGTAAAAAATCCAACTTACTTGGTCGAAAGTGGTCAAAGGCAATGGAGGCCAGAAGTTGTAATTGGGCTCTTTATTACCCATTTGCGACTCACTTGAGAGATGAAGGATGACATAACCGAAACCGACCACGTTACTAACCTCAGTGAATATGACAAACAAACAACCTTTAAGTTTTGCTTGTAGTTTTGAGAATGTATTTGAACAAAGATACAAATTTAATGGTCTGTCTCCGTGCCATCATAAACCTCTACTGTATATAACGGTTATTTTGATTATATATTTAGAACTGAACATTTTGTCAATTCAGCGCATTAAGCCGCGAAAGAGAACTCATTTCAGTATATGCGCGTGGTCTCTGAGAGACAATTTTTTGCCAACTAATTGGGCTTGAATGGTTAAATGCACATACCTAGGTGTCAAAGTGACCATGTATTTACAAGTAAACAGAGTCATTTATGTCTTAAATGAACGTAAACTGTTGAGAAAGAAAACGCACGAGTAAAGTGACATCATCCAAATTTACCTGCTGTCATTATTAATGCTAATTAAACAAAAAAGTTCAATCTCTCACCGCTCTTGACTGAATTACTTTTCTAACTTTAATAAGAATAGATGTATATCTAATTTGCACAGTAAAGACTGTGCATAGTTTTTTTTATACATTTGATTTTCTAGTGCTTGAAGTTTTTCAAGTAGGTCTATTTCATTTATGTCATTGTTCTATTGTAGTTTGCTTTCTTTGCTCTTTCTTTATCAGTTTACTTATCTTTAGTTATCCTAACAGTTGTTTTAGGCTAGCATTAGTTTTTATAATTATATTGAAAATGGTAAGAATTGGAAAAAAAAAAATATATATATATATATATATCATAAAAATCTTATTAAAA